CAGGAACACCCCCTCCCTCCCTGGTGCAGTGCGTACCCGGTCTGGGATGTGAAACACCTTTTCCTACTGCCAGTGAGACCAGTGAAGCTTCAGAAGGAAAAAAACCTGTTCAGCTGCTGCTGATTTAAGGAATGAGCTGTCTTTGGGCTCCCCTTCTACGTTGCATTAGACAAGCTGCTTGCTTTCATCTCTCTTCACCCGTCTGTACTGGTGGGTTGACTTCTGCTCCACCAGCCCATGGTGCAGTGCTCACTGCCTGCCTTTTTAAACTTTCACACAAGCATCTGTCCTGCCTTCTACCTCATGGGTTTCTTTCAGATCTTCCTCAAAACCCTCCTGTGTGTGGCTCACCAGACTGCTGGCACTTAAGTGCCTGGTGTGCTGCGAGCTCTCTGGGCCGGGCCCGCGGAGGCTGTTCTGTGCTATACATCCTGTAGCACACTGAGCTTAGCTCATGTCTCGGGCTCCCAAACGTTACAATATAAATGTACTTAACCAGAAACCTGTCTCTCTTTCCAGGCTCACAGCAACGAGATTCTTGTGTTTTCTCTGCAACCAAAATCTCTTGTGAGGTAAAACAAAAAAATGGGAACTCCTGCCTTGACTTCAGTATTACTGTCTACTCCCTCCCTCCCTGCACTCAGGACTTGGTGCCTGGGTGGGCATAAGGGCTTTGGGGAACTTTTATTGGCTTGTTTACCAAGGAAGGCCATTAATCGCCGGTGTAACAATGCCAATATTATGGCTACTGACACTTAAGAGCTAATAGTTTCAAAGGAACAAACAGCTAAGTAGCTCTCATGTAGAAGTTTCTGACCTGTTGCTATTTATGGTATTGGAAGAGGTCAGCTCCTATTAAGAGACTCTCCTTTCTTTTTTTCCAGGCTGTGCCTAGAAGCAGTTATCTGCTTTAAAGAGATGTTAGCCAGCTCCTGGAACTGCCTCCCAAAACACTTGCTTCATAGTGTCAACCAGCGGTTTGGCAGTAACAATACGTCTGGCTCCTAAGGCTCCCGCTTTCAATCACACCGAACAAGAAGTGCATGGATGAGCGTTTCTAAAAGATGTATTAATTTTACCAACTAAGTGTGGCAGGCGTGAAACTTGTATAGATTACAAATCGGCATTGTTGTAGGTAGTAGCTTCTCGGCTTTAAGGTGCATGTGAATGGCCTAGAGAGAACCTATTTTTGTGTAAAGATGTTTGCAATAAATGTATTTAATGCAAGTGGAGATGTATCCAGTGCTTAACCAGTAGCGGGTCTGCTCAACTTACTTTACTGCCACCCTTTCATTAAGTGATTGTGAGAAACCTGTTTCAGAGGGGGTCAACTCTCCATTGCCAAGAGGTGGAGTAGGTAAGACGATAGTTTGAGGATCGATGGTACTCACTAAACGGGGCGACACATAGAATTAAGCTAGTAGTGATCCGTAAGTACAGTAATCTGAGGATAGATTCCCTGAACGGCCCGTGCTAGTATTTAAATGTTAGAAAACAAAAACAATCTGTAAGTGTACAGTGATAGAAAACCTTGAGTTTCTTTGTTGTGGGAATAGCTTCTCCACTAGGAAACTCCTGTCGTTTAAACCTCCTGTTGTTGTGTGACTGCTTCTCCTGTGTTTTGCTTCTAACTTGTTTTCTAGCGGTTTAGAGCCTCTGTGGTGAAGTGTGGCTCTCGCCTCCTTTGCCTTTTGCCTCTCAGGAGCTTCACTTATTAAGCCTCCACTGTTAGTCAGCAGCGGAGGCTCCTGAGGTACTTGGCACCCCTGGCTGAGGATGGTCAGCTCTGGCTGGAGGTAGCTTTGACTAACATCCTTGCTTCTGAGCCCCACGAGTCTGGTGGAACCAGCTCAAATGTGCCCGCTCTGCTCCGCTTAACTGGAAAACTTTACTTGGTGTGGGCTGCTGTCTAATCCATGCCAAGAACTGTCTGCATCTGCCTTACTCATGCTCAGTGTCTCCATGGGCTCCAGCTCAGCCACTGACGGGAGATCGTAGTTAAATCCTTGAAACCAATACAAATAAAGGGCTTTAAAAACGAGAGCACATCACTTTCAGCACTCTACTTCCTGTGTCAGTTCTTTTCATTGTAGTAGAATTGCAGGACAGGTTTGATTTGGATCGACACAGCACAACTGCTTTCAAACAACCCCAGTGGCTACAGTTCAGAAATCACACAGGAGTGCTAAGCAGAGTAAAATGCCTCAGGGCCACGGCTGTGTTTATACCATCCAGCATCCAGTCCTACCCAGGTGGGTGGGGACCCCCAGTCTGTACCACTTGCCTGGAGCAAGCTGCTTAGAAACCAGACTGAAATAGCTGTTTTGTTACCACAGGCCACAGCACATTATTTCTAATAAACTGGGAAATAGTGACCCTCTACGTGCAGAAGGGGACACACTGAACAGTCTGCCATGCCTCTGCCCAAAAGCGTGGAGACAAACTATCCTGCCAGCTGTACTGAAGTCCTGCAAGGACAGAACAAGGAACCACATGAAACCAGTCTCCTCTGTGAGCAGAGGCCAATACTAATTTACTTGTACACTTGAACCCCATGTACCAAGTCCTTATAAATATGTCTAGGCGCAAGTCAGATTTTGCCTTAGTCCATCTCTGCCTGTCGACCAGGTTAGTCAAGCCGATTTATATTCTTTTAAACAGTTAACTTAGTCTATCAGGAGGCTGGAAGAAGCCCAGATAGCAGGTGTGTCGTTGTCGTCTTCTGCAGGCAGCTCCAGGAACTTGCTTACTGTTGATTACACAGATATCAGCAATCATTTTTTCTTCTTACTCAGGAGATTAGGTGCAGATACTTTCACTTTACCAGGAATATTTCTCGATAAGTCAGTGTCCTATAAAACAAAGTGAGAATTAAGATCACATACAGTGTAAAAAGTTCTGCTCACCAGCTTCCTCTTCCCTTTTGGAATAGTTGCTGCAAATGAGGTTACACAACTATCAGCAATCGCAGTGGCACTTTGCAGCGAGGGTGAGGCTGTGCCAGACAGCTCACAGCGTACAACTCTAAAGCCTCCCAACTCATTCGAGTGGGGTGGCCAACCTGCAGTGCCCCCGGGACACGGGGGAGGGAACAGGCAGTACCAGCAGCAGACCGGCCAGGGGAAGAAGAGCATCCGAGTGACACTTGGGGAGGGTGTGCTACGACTGCCAAAGAAGTCGGTCCCCTCTGCGTTAAGAGGATCACGAACCTACGAAAGGTCTGCAGCTCCCACTGATGAAAGCAATGGATCGCCAGAACATCCTGGCAGACTCGGTAGTTCTCATTAATGCACTTAAAGTACTCGGTGATGAGACACCATCAAAGAGTTCTATTTAGTGGGATATTATCAGGATCAATTTTAGGCCTGATGCTCTTCAAAACTGACCTTGAGATATCACTGCTTAAAATCTGCAGATGAGAAATGAGGACTGCAGCAATCCTGCAGAGCAGGGCCCGTGCAAAAAAAATGCAAGAACTGCCGAGCCTTTTGGATAGGACAGGATATAAGTCTAATAGATCACACATCAAGGAACAAAGACAGCAAGCCATACCTACAGAACATCCTGGGAAAGCAGCAGCTCCCAGAAGGGTTTAAGGGGCACATGATGAACTCCTGGCATGCCTGACAGGACGATGCGACCCTTAGATATGTAACAGGAGTACTGGTTCGGAGATCATTTTCTGTCACTCTAAGGTGCCACAGTACTGCACACATTTTAAAATGGAGTCTGCGCAAAGGAAAGCCACAAAAAAGGACTAAGGCTGGTGAACCAGGCAATGTTGGGCCCCTGCAAGACACAAATGGTAATCTTGTGGCCACGCCAGACAAGAAAGCTGATATTTTTAAGTTTCTTTGCCTCCATTTTCTTGAACAGGAACCGGGACATCCCACCTGCCAGAGGTATGGACAATCTCGGGGATAGCTCTATCAGGCCTTCAGTCAGCGCAGATGTAGTTAGGGATCTTCTGGAGGGGCTGGACATTTTTAAATCTGCAGGTCCAGATGCCCTCCACCCAAGGGTGTTGAGGGAGCTGGCAGGGGTCACCGCGGAGCCCTCGGCCCGGCTGTATGAGCATTCGTGGTCATCTGGCCAGGTGCCGGGGGATTGGAAACTGGCTAATGTGGTCCCGATTTTCAAGAAGGGGAGGAAGGAGGACCCAAGTAACTATAGGCCTGTAAGCCTCACCTCGGTGCTCGGGAAACTCTTGGAGAGAATCATCGAGCACATCTGCGGGGGGCCGGCAGGAGAGATCATGCTCAGGGGCAATCAGCATGGGTTCATCAAAGGCAGGTTCTGCCTGACCAACCTGATTGCCTTTTATGACCAAGTAACTAAATCCTTGGATGACGGTGTCGCCGTGGACGTAGTCTTTCTAGACTTTAAGAAGGCCTTTGACACTGTCTCTCACCCCATCCTCATCAATAAATTAAGCGACTGTGGCATTGATGCCTGCACAGTTGGATGGGTAAAAAATTGGCTGA